CCCCAAAACCCCAAAACCCCAAAACCCCATGAAGTAAAATTTTGTAATTTAGATTGAATTTATAATTGTATTGTTAATTTGGAATTATGAACTATTCAGAAGACGGCGGGAGTCCACTCTAAAATGATTATGGACATCAATCATCTAACACTGGTGGCAAAGCTGCTAATAAAGGAGGGTAGAATGGAAACTAGAAGAAGAATCAGTTCATGACTCCAGCAGACTATCTATCAAGAGAGTAGGACATTTACGGAGGAGATTTGAATGGACTTGAGGATATGATTGATAACTCATAGGATGAAGAGCGCCAAATAGACTCACTAAATGCAGATCATGCCTCCTCTTTCTTCTCATAATCATTCAAGAATCAGTTGAATCAGAATCAGATCTTGACAGGCTTTAATATGAGTGACTGCACTTAGAACCTTTAAATCAAGTAACTCTAGCAACTATTGCACAATGAGAAGTCCTCTCCAGAGCTTTTACCATACTAGACAATCCTTATAGACAAAGTTACAAAATTGATCAACAATTAAGAACAGTAATTGTAGGCACCAGTCAGAGATACCGATGATCGCTTTTTCTTTAATATTCACAAGATGGAGTTAGAGAGAGTCAAGTATATGCTAAAGAGCTACCTGCGTACCAGAATCCTTAAAATAGAGCGCCAGGTTGTCTACATAATTGAGAAAGACTTGGCTTCACTCCTCAGCGACCCTGAGATGCAATATGCCTGGACTCTTTATGAGAATAAGAAGAATTATTTCTAAGTCGCTATGTTTAACAAAATTCCCACTACCCTTAATCCCTTTGAAAAAGATTAATTAGAAGAAAGAATGATAACTGTACCAAATAGTTCGGAATTCGTATTCGCCCGTTTCCTCAAATCTCATGACGTCTTTCACTTTACAAAGGACATTGAAGCCAAGATTGATAAGGACAATATATATTTCCTACCCTATAGCTGGATCAAGGAATCGTTGTAAGTTGGTGAAGCAGAACTAGTTTGAAGATCAAGCGCTCAAATTAATTATGATAGTCTGTGTATAAGTAAATATCTGTATATTTAAAGCGAACTAATTAAAAATTTGATTTTCACCATGAGGGGTTTTGGGGTTTTGGGGTTTTGGGTTTTTGGGGGAAATA